AAAAAGAGATAATTGAAATCTCGTTCACATCCGAGACTTTGAATTTACATAAATTATTAGCCTCGTTCTAAAACTTCCTTTCTCTTGCCGGGGTTGACGAGTAGTCCACGCTTCTTTCAAGACCTTCACTAAATACAATAATGCCCGTAAGTTATCTTTGTTTGACGATTTCGATTCCTATTTAATTATTTTTGTTAACGTAATGGTTTTATCATTTTTTTTTAATAGTGGTCTAGACTCAATGAATATTATTAAACCATATTTAAAAATAAACCAGCAGAGAACCTCGTTTAGTCGTTTATGATCGATTTTCAGGTATCCAGCCATTTTGTAATTTTACCGGCCAGCCAGAACTTGAGTACTCGACAGAGTCGTGCTGGGTTAATCAAAAATCAACTAGAATACGATTGAGTTTTTCTTAGATTTAGATTTTGTTTCACTGTCTTACGGCAGGCTAAGCGACACATTTTAAAATTTCAACATGTACAACGCTACTATTCTAGGCTAGGCAGCTTCTAAGCTTGCAGCACACAGACATGTCACATGGTGCTAGATTTTTATCCTGGCAGAACCAACAAATTAATGCCATTGGACTGACTGTTTCCAAAGTGGTATAAGTGATACTTTGAAAGCTGCATCAAAAAAGAGGGAGGACTGCTGTTTCATTAAATAGAATAACAAGAGGGAATAAAAACCTGAACTCATGATCAGGAAAGCATCTTAAAGCTGCAAAACCTTTTTTTAAAATTCTTTTAGATGCATAGCAAGCATTGGATAACCAGCACCTCATAACACCAAGATTATTGGTTTAGACTAGGCTAGGCACCACATGCAATATTTGCCTTTTACTTAAGATTAAAAACTTGAAAATTATCTCAATAAAAGAAGCTGCCATATCAAACACCTCAATGCATCTTTATTTTGATGGTTATTACAGAAATAACTGGTAGATCTAGATTTGTACTGTACGCAATCCATTTTCATATATGAACAGGTTTAGTCTTTTCCTATGCACCTAGCAACAAAGTTTCAAACTCAAAATACAATGCTGAATTCAACAATAGGATTAGTGTGATTGTTGTATCTTTTTAACTTCTCTTTTATTTAAAAAAAAGTATTTTTCTTTAATATCGAAAAAACCCGGAAGTGTGAAAGTAAAAAATGACCGATAAACTTGAGATAGCATTTTTGACTTTTTTCACATAAGCCACACTTGCAAATTTATTACATTTTTGAATGAAATGTGAGAAGTTATAAACTTGTTATCGATTACTTTAGACAATGGCCTATATAAAGCTTAATTACGTTTTTTTTTAAAAAGTTATTTGTCATTTTTACATTTATTATAAAAAATACTAATTTTTTGTTTTTAGCAATACAGGGTACAGGAAAATGATCAATGATTCAATTTTTTTTTTCACGGTAGATATCATGCCTGGCTGTAATTCTACCAAGTTTTATCGCGATATCTCCTTCGCATCGCTCAAAAACTTGAAAATAACGGTTATCATTGTGGGCTATGGGATTTACAGTTTATGTGAATTTTGATAAGGAAATTTGGTCATCAATGTATAACCACTGGAGCCCATGTAAGGCCTAATATTCTGGATATATTCAAATAGATTTTTTGTATTAATCGTCTTCGCATGAATTATAAAGCGCATTTGAAAAATAGTTTCAGACGATTTTGATCCCACTTTTAAAATATTTTATTTTCTGCCATCACAACGCCGCCATTTTGTCCCCGCCTCTCTGGCATTTCTTTTAAGACCCCATAATTTGTTTATTTTATCAATATTTACGTTATAAACAAGTAAAGTTCATAAATATAAATGAAATCAGATTTGTGAGCTAGAAATTCACTATGAATACTAAATCTACTATTAAATTTTTAATATCCTCTACGAAACTCAATTCCAACTTTAACTTTTTGAGCTGGGGCCTGTGTCTCGCTGGCTTAGCGAGCGAGACGCTCTCATGATGACTCATCTTACTTGTTCCATGTCCACCATTGTTAAGCCAAAACGATACAAAAAAAATCATAAACTTTCTAACTATTAAACATAGTCATAATTTAAACACCATTGGAAAGTTCTTTAAAAGTATTTTAATGATGTACTAACGAAAAATTGTTTTTTCAAAGATCAATTTTTTATTTCACCTCTCTAATATAAAGTGTGCCAGCAGAATTTAATAAAATATACACATTCCTTGTGGTGGATTACTGTACCGGTACTAAACATTTTATAGGGAACAGTACACAAAAGGAAAAAATTTGTACAGTGGCTTCAAAAGTAAAGCAGAATGAGTGCTGAAATAAATTTAGCATGCTAAAAATTAGTTTGTCAGATAAAATATACCAGGTCTAAAGTTGGAACTGGTTGTTGGGCTGTATGAAATGCATGCCAATGGAAAGCAGCTATTACTTTACTTAGATTATTACATGCTACACAGAAATGTTAACATTTTCTAAAATTTTATTTCAGTATCAAGGTGGTGGAGGATATGGTGGTGGTGGCGGTGGCAGTTATGGTGGGGGTGGGGGTGGAGGACGTTATGGTGGTGGAAGTGGGGGTGGAAGAGGAGGTCGTGGGGGTGGAAGAGGTGGTGGTGGTGGTGGAGGAAGATACAATGACGACGGTGACACAGATCCCAATGCTGAACAGTTCAGAAAATTGTTTGTTGGAGGACTTAGCTATGAGACAAATGAAGATGGCCTTCGTTCCCATTTTGAAACATGGGGTGAAATTGTTGATTGTGTTGTCATGCGAGATCCTAATACCAAAAGGTTAGTGTTTTGTACTTTGAAATCTTAAAAGTTTTCTAGTTATATTTATTTATAATGGTACATTATTTGATACATTTCAATTCATTTCTTCAGGTCCAGGGGTTTTGGATTTATTACTTACAAAGATTCTGCAATGATAGATGAAGCCCAGTCTCACAGACCTCATAAAATAGACAACAGAGAAGTAGAAACAAAGCGTGCAATGCCCAGGGATGTAAGTAAAATAAACAAATTCACAAAAAATAAAAAAATAATTAACCTTCATATTAGGGATCTAACCTTTCCTTTAAGCACTATCTTCTTTATTTATTCTCAGTAATAGATTAGTACTGGGATTAACATCATATTTTTTTTTTTTAAATAGATCCTTAAACTTAATAAACATTTCGATATCACATCTATTATAGTTAGAACATTCCGCTTTCCTGTTTATTTGATCATTTATCAATATTAAATAGAGCTAACATGATTTTATGTTCTTTCATTACTATTATACACCTACCCCAATAAGGTATTCAGTTGACATAATGAAATTTTCTTATCAAAGATCCAATTAATAGACTAAACATTAGATACATAGTTTCATGAAAATCTAATTCCATTCCAATATTACTAAATAAACACGTGCAATGTTGAAATAGCCTCGCTATTAAGATTAAAACTTTTAGAGGTTAAAACTAAAATTGCAATGCAATGTTGAATACATATAAATTAACTGAAAATTGGTAAATGACTAAAATTTGCTTTTCAGGCTGCAGGAAGCAGCAACCATCAATCAGTAAAAAAAATGTTTATTGGTGGAATGAAAGATGATACAACAGAAGAGCACATAAGAGAAGTCTTCACTCCATTTGGTGCCATAGAATCAGTTGACATAGTGACAGACAAAAACACAGGCAAAGTCAGGGGCTTTGCTTTTGTCACATTTGAAGATTATGATTCAGTTGACAAAGCTGTTTGTAAGTAATTTATCACTTCACTCAGTAAGCTCACTTTTTGAAATTTTTGTATCATCAAACTTAAGTGTCTAAGTTCAAAGCAGTGATGTTATAAATATTTGCTATCTGATACAGTGATGGAAAAAATCTACCACCTAGATCTCTGAGCTTTGCTAAAATAGCTTTGAAATAGTTTTGAAGTGTGCTTTCAAGTTTAATTATATATATTTTTTTTTTGTTTTAACATTTTAGTAAAAAAGAGACATGATCTGAATGGTAGAAAAGTTGAAGTTAAGAAAGCAGTATCAAAAGACCAAATGGAAGGTTAGTGATTGCATTGTTAAAAATATAAGAACTTTTAAAATGAAAGATAAATGCTTGCTTTGTTACTAACTATAATGACAATTTTCAGGAGGCTCCAGAGGTGGTGGTATGGCAGGTGGACGTGGAAGAGGAAGAGGGGACAGTTTTGGTGGTGGTTATGCTGCAAATGGAGGTGATTATTTTATTAAATTTCATTATTGCAAAATCTTTTGTGTTGTTCAGTTTAGTACATGAACATGACTTTGATATGATAATTACACAGTGTGCTTGAGGGATTATTTTTGACATTTTTGTCATAAGTTTGAAATTTTATTAAGTATAGTTTTAGTTTATTTTGACCCATTTTTAAATAAGCTAAAAAAAAAACTTTTTTTTTTTCAATGCAGGTGGTGGTGGATATGGAGGGGGTTATGGAGGTCAGGGCTGGGGAGGCTCAGGTGGTGGATATGGAGATTACAGTAAGTTTTTCAGCTACTGTGTATAATCATATATTGATTGATCTATTTTTAGTTTTTCTAGTTAAGTCTGCAAATATTTTTTCTTCTCTAATCCTAATACTTTAATTTTCACAGATAGCAATTGGGGTGGTGGTGGCGGCGGCTTTGGTTCCAACTATGGTGGAGATTATGGTGGTGGCCCAATGAAAGGGGGCGGCTACTCAGCTCGTGGACAAGGCCCATATGGAGGTAAATTTAGTATTTTTGAATACTTAATATTTGTAGGTAGTATAATTTAAAATGCCTCTGAACTTTTAAAGGTAAATAAATTAATTTGGAAGTTTAGATGATGCATTTTTTTTTTATTTCCCTTTTTTGTGACTTGGCAAATTTTCTCTTCCTAAAAAAATTCTTAGATAAAGATACAAACATTTTGTCGGCAGGTGGCTATGGACAAGGCGGTGGTGGTTATGGAGGCGGTGGTGGTGGTGGTTACAGACGTTAAAGGTTTTGTAGCACTTGTTAATAAAAAAAAGGTAAGTTTTTCGCAAAAGTAGACTTTCTTGCAGTTCTAATAAATTTTATTTGCTTGAAAACAATCATGTGCTTCCAGAAATCTTTCCTTGTACATTCTTGCCGCCTATAAATTGGCTTAGAAAGTCTAATTTTGTGATAGGTAGTATTAAATTATTGATTGCGAGTAGACCATAGTCTTTTGAAAGACGAGCATTTTTTTATATTGAAACGTCCCATATGAGTGCTTGGTTGTGACTTTGTCCAATGTTGGTGATAATGTTGATTGGAGAAGGATCATACAAGCTTCCCAATTATTGAATGCCTGGGTGTCACTACTGAACATTTTGCCCTGGTAATGTATATCATTTGTCCATTTTTTTTTTTATTTGGGCGTCAAATCATTCTTGATAGTACATTTCAGGTTTCATAATTTCTATTCCTTTTCCTTACTTCAATTATAGGCAGGCAAACAGGTTGTAAGCAGATTAAGGAAACTAGAAAGTGGAAGATTTAGCAGGCAGGCAGTTCAGACTTCAGGCTTAGATAGGGTTTTTGACATCAGCCTAGGCAAATCCTATTCTCAAAGCCTTCCAATCATCAGTTTCAACTTTAGGTTTCCTAGCAACCTTAGCGAGCAGTCTACTGTTAGGAGTCAGATCAGGTAGCCGCGTTAATTCAGTGTAGTCTTATTGCTCTTATTTTTCAATGTCTACTGAGTGTTATTTTTTTTTTATAAAATGTTCTTACTATTATGAGATAATGTAGATTCAAGTCAAGGAAGACACATTTAAGTAAATAGGGCTCTTAATTTATTTGGAGACAAATACAGGGTTTAGAGGGGTTCACAAGATTAGTTTACATAGCTAGAATGAAAATTGTTCCTATTAGACATTAAACTGTGCCTGCCTTGATATTAGATTAGCCAGTGTATTGTTAGATGTTATGCCTGCGTTATTATTAAAATATTGTAAGACAAAAGCCTGCATTAAGATTTTTAAGTTTTGCTTTTATATTCCATCAGTATATTTATCATTGTCATTAATGATTCAACCATGTCATTCTTTCAGTCATTTCATATCATTTGGGGATTCTGGGCTGGGATATTCATTCATCTCAAAATTTGTCACCACTGTATTTTTGTTGTCTGTCTTGTGTTTTTTTAATGCATAAATGTTTGTGGAATAAAATGTTTTTACCTTGACAAAATGTTGTTTATTTCATATGAGCATTGTGATTTATACATACATATTTTTAGATCAAACTTAAGAATAAATAAAATTTTACAAAGTTTCTACATTAAAATTGGACTGCTGGACTATCAGCTTTCCAAAACAATTACAATACTAGGAATTTTTTGTTTACAACTACGGGTTTTCAATAAAACACCTTTATCCCAATCAGTTGGACCTTATTAAAGTTGATAAAACATACTTGGAATGCTAATGTAGGTTGAAATTGATAAAACATACTTGGAATGTTAATGTAGGTTATCTTGGCATTCCTGCTGTCTTGTGAGAAAACAATTTTCCACTAAATATTAATTCCGAATTCAATTTTAATAGTTTGATAAGATGATTGGTCATACCCAGATATTGGTTTGGAATTGAAGGCTTTTATGTCTCTGGATTCATGCTAAAAAGGGTGAAGTAATGGTATTGTACTTCACCTTTGTGGCGATTGTAATACCATTTTTAAAAAAACGCTAGATTATGCTGCAAGAGACTTGTTTCAGTACAGGTTCATTGTTAAAAAAGTTAATTGCCCCTTTCAATAGGGAAAATGATGCCAGTGGCTTTGCTAAACAAAATCCTTCTCCCCCTTCATTAGTAAATCCTTTTTTTTCTTGGTCTGCAAACCAGATCATCTAGCTACCGGTACATGTCTTGGTAAAATCTATATTCTTTATCCCACAATTTATAACTAATAAACGCCTTGAAAAATAGTAAGGGTATTTCTTTATAGTGGATAAATTATTATTGTACAATAAAGGACCAGTGTGTAGATTTATTTGTAGAATAATCATATGCCACTATTAAGTTTACTAATTTTTAATCAATAATCAAAAAGTTTACTTTGTCATTTGGTAATAGTTATGCGTTCAGATGAATGTCTTATCTGGAATATAATGCTTCAAGTTGTTAAATAAAGGATAAAACATTTAAAACAAAAACACCAGTACAAGTTTATAAATCAAGTATTTATTTATAGCTTCACTTATAAATTCTTGTTTATTAACATTGTGTAATAAAGCAGCAGTAATTTTTTTATTTTTTTTTGAAAGACATTTGTATTGATAGGGGAAAACATGAATGCACAGAAATAACAAACTAGGTACTGGTAAAATGCAACCCACTATTCCAAAATAATTTGAATTCATTACCATATGCTTCTGTCATAATTTATTGATCCTTGCAAGTTAAATAAACAGCATAAACAATAAATACTCAAAGAAAATGTTTGCAAATTGAACAGAACATTAGGTAATCTGTAAATTGAGAATCACCAACTTTCTCAATAGTAAATGTTGAAGTGTGAGATGACAATTTTAAAGATGAGACAACTTTGACTATCATCTGATGTTGTATGCTTTCTTGGCAATTTCTGCATCATCGTTGAGTAATCTTCCTCTTTCAGTGTAAGATCTAAGAAAGGACCTGGAGTAAAGAAGTATCCCCAGCCCCCACTTCCATGTCATGAAACACCAAACACATGTCAAGTAATAATCTGTTCCATATATGACTAGACCTAGATGGAAATATATAATGAATGTATTAGAAAATAACAAAATTATTACATTTTCACAACCTTTACTATTTTAACTAAATAGACCTTGTTTTTAATAACCTAAATAAATAAAATTGAGGTATGAAGGGGGGTAACCTTTTAGGGATTACTGGCACTTTAAGCCTAAAGTGTGCAGATGTGCCAAAAAACTCTAAACCTAGTAATTAGAGGATTAGTTTTACTAGTAGCAAATGGGGAAATCTTTAGAAGTGGATTATCACTGAAAAATAATAGAAAAAATAAAAAACATTTGTTGGTAGTCTATTACATTTTCTATTGGAGTTCTCATGTGGTCAGAAATATTTTTTTTACCCCATTTTTGTTGATTAGAGAAATTGTACAGAATTATATAGTTAATAGATGTTTTACTTTGAACTCAAGATGAACTGAAAATGTTATTAATCAATGCTGACCACATTACTATATCACTAATTTGTTGTTGAGAAAATATAAATTTTAAAATCCAAATAAATTAGTAAAAGTAAAGTTTCCCTTTCAGACCTTGTGACAGATGATGAAAAGATCATCTGTTTCTGTGGCCTACGGATAATGAGGGTGTTGTGGCCAGCACAATGACCAACCGCCTTTACTTTTCCCCCAGCTTAGGTCAGGTACCCATTTGAGCTGGGTGGACTGAGAGACGCATAAAGATCCTGAAATTAAAATTACCAGGATTTGAACCCACAACCCCTAGTTCAGAAACCAAATTTCTTTACCGCGCCTCCAAATAAATTAGTACCATACTGGTAACTTCTAAGATTCCAAATTACCGGTACTTAAAAAGTCCCTAACCCAATTTTAAGTCATGCAACACTAGCTAAATGAATGTTGGAGTTAAAAAAATGGACTTATTAAATATTTATTACCCGGTACAATTATTGAAAGCATTCTATTTTTTTTTTTAATACACATGGGTTACAGTTCAATAAACAAGGGAAGGGAACCACTAGAAATATAGTGTGCAGAATTGTTGCACATATTGGTACTGGTACAAAAAGGTTGAGGATGGAGTCATGGATATAGGCAACACTTTTGAAAAAATGAAGAAAAACATGAAAAAAAGGTAACGGGAGTGCAGAGTGGCACAAGCTCATTAGGCAAGCATCTTTTTTTTTTAAAGACATTGCTACTTCTTAATAATTGTACATGTACATTATTTTAGTCATTATCAAGTGGGACAATTGAATGCTGGTGATTGTCAGCATAATGGACCTCATTCACCAATCGTAAACAAACAACATTTAGCCACAAAGTGCTCTATCTCTTCTATATAATTTACGATCTCATGCGGGACAGTTTTTTTTCATTGTTTTATCAATAAGAGCACGTGACTAAATATTGTTTGTTTACGATTGGTGAATGAGGTCCATTATGGTCTGATTATTTAATATGTGTGTACCAGTATTTGCCTTATTATTTTTAAACTGAAGTACCTGAATATACATTTCTATAGAGTGATGTGTTTTCTTTCGTACAAAAAAAAAACATCTTTGTAATTAATCAAAGCTGAAAGAAATTCAGTCACTTTTCCATAAATATCTAATGGATTTACAGAAACTGTAGCTTTTTTAATGAATCCTATTTTAAAAACGGGCTAGATTTTCAAGAATATACATTTCTATAGAGTGATATGTTTTCTTTCGTACAAAAAAAAACATCTTTGTAATTAATCAAAGCTGAAAGAAATTCAGTCACTTTTCCATAAATATCTAATGGATTTACAGAAACAGTGTAGCTTTTTTAATGAATCCTATTTTAAAAACGGGCTAGATTTTCAACCTTATTTGAATTATTACCTAAAATCTAATCTCTATGTATCTTACCATCTTGTTTAGTTATTCCCAACACTAGGTATGCCACAAGGCCGCAAACTCCAGCTAATTGTATGAAACAACCCAGCAACATAAATGACTTTAAACACATGGGATTTGAATCCCACGCTCTCTTGTGGTAGGCTATTGTTACACCTAAAGCAATGGCTGCTGCCAAACCTGTCAGTTGATAAATTAAATTAAATTCTAAAAAATTAATATAAATACAAAAGGGTTGCAAAAAAAAATACTTTTTTTTAAAACTTTCAACTACAGTGGAAATTTAAACAAAAATAGTTCTATATTAGAAAGGATTAAAGCTTGTACTTAAAAAGGTTACAGCAGGTAATAAAGTTAACTTCTTGTAGATTTATTGCTCCCCCTCCCCCAGTATCTTATGAAATATGTCGAGGATACATTACGTCAAGGAAAACCCATTTCAATAAATAAGGCACTTGATAAAAGCCCTTTATTTTTTTAAAGACTTGACTGAAATAAGAAGAAAAATTTTTTTGGCATCTTACACTAAGAATATAATGGTACCCAGTAATTAAGTATTTGAATTGTTCTTAAAAGTGTATTTGTCACAACACCACAATACAGGTTTTTAATTACACAATTTGATGACAAAAGCGCTTTGAAAAGAGTATTACTAATATCAGGTACATGTAAATTCTAATTAGATCATACAACCAGTAAAGTTGCAGTAAGAAAAAGAAACAAGCAAAATATTTTAAAAATCCTTTTAAAAAAACAAAGCTTATCTGAGAGGAAGAACTCCAAACTTAAAATAATATATCTCAATAATGTATAAGTTATTTTGCTTATTGGATATAAACAAAATAATTAATTGGTTAGGGCATAACATGGCCTAAATTGTGCAGATGTG